TTTTCAATGTTTTTTTATGTTTGGTGTAACTGCTCTGCCCTGAAAGAGTTCCAGGATAAGAGAAGCAAAGGGAAGCCCCTTTTGTTAGACTTTTGGGGGAAAGCGCAACCAGTCAAAACAGACAAACACAATTCCTTGGGAACAAAACCGGCTCTGCTCCCTCCAGAAACAGGCAGCCCCACCAGAAATACAAGACCACCTCTGTGCTGGGGAGGAGGTTGGGGCTAGGTAAGTTAAGATGCCACAAAAATCTCTTACCATATTTAAGTTGCCTTTGTCCTGGATAAGCAGTCACTTGGTTGCTATAAATCTTTGACTGTCTCCCAGAGTGCTAGCAAGGTTGATTTTGGCCATTTTTGCCAGGTTTCTGGGGAGAGACCGACCCCCAGAGCTCCCTATTCTGCCATTTTCTGATATTATCTTGCTTTGCCATTTAAAAATTGGGTTATTTGTCTCTTTCTTATTGAGGTGTAAGAGCTCTTTATATATTCTGGATACAAGTGCACAATCAGATAGTCAATTGAACATTTTTTTTTTTTTACTAAGAGAATATATTATTTGTGTAATTAAATAATAATAAAATTGCAATCTACACAAGGTTGCAAATCTGTCTGTTGGTGCACAAAAGTTACTGGAAATAGTCAAACTTTCCATCAGAGTGTGATTTGGGATAGTTTCTTTCTCCAGCCACCGGTGGATGGCTTTCTTCCTTCTGCCCTCTGGCAGAGACTGCCCGCTGCTGCAGGTGTTGGCTGGTGTGGTTGTTCAAGAGGAGCTGGAGGTCTCTCTGCCCTGGATTGTCTCATGGCTCCTGGAAGGAAGTAACTACACGGTATTTTTCTTTGCTTGGACCCTCAAGGTGGCCTGGGGTGGGGGGAGGGAGAGTGTGGGGTTCTTTGGGAAGCTCTGAGATCTGGCCTTAGGCCAGCTCCACCCTCTCACCCAACCAGCTAAAGCCCCAACACTAGCCCAGAGGGAGTCTGACTCTCTGGAAGGGTCAGGATTCAGACAGGTCCCAGGGTGGCCGGCCTGCAGAAGTCTGGAGAGGCAGGGCCAATAGTAAAAGCAACCCCTCATCCTTCAGAGGCCTTCAACAGTTTACCAAGCACTGACTAGTATGTTTGGTTCTTACTAAAACCCCATGAGGCAGATCTAATTTACAGATGAGGAAAGGTAGGATCAGAGAAGGAAAGGTACCCGTTAAAAAAAACCTACAAAACTCAAGCCCCTTGACTGTCTCTAAAATCAACAAACATACATTCATTTGGCCAGCACATTCCCAGACCTCCCCCTGTGCGAGGGCCTGTGGACTGTGGAAGATAAGTTGGGCAGTTCACACCCTCAAGGATAAAGCAGTGAGAGACAGACATATGTTTATAGGCCAGTTTGGTATCATGATTAAGGGCACAGACTTTAGTGTCAAACAGACCTGGGCTTGACTTTCAGCTCTGCCAGCCACCAGGAAGTTGCTGATCTCTCTGAGCCTTAGTTGCTTTGTCTAGAAACTGTGGGGGGAGGTGGGATAAAATTTTAGAGTTGTTGCCTCACTGGAGTGTTGTGTGGATAAAAAGAGGCACCCATAGAAAGCTTAGCACAGTGACATCAGGCACATGTAAAAAGCCTAATGGGTATTAGCTGTTTTTAGGTATTAGCTGTTTTTATGAGTAGTGCAATTAATGAAAATTCTAAGTATTACAGGCAGTATGCTTTGGAGTCCAGAGGAAGGAGTGATTCACCCTGAGTCTCTTCTTACTTGGTAGCTCCCTAAGCTTGTTCTGGGCTGCTCTCTTGGGGGCTGCAAGAAGGAGGATGCAGGTAAAACAGGTGAAGCCCACCCTGTGGGATGCGGCAGAAGAGGCCCAAGCCCACCAGGCTGGCCTGAAGAGCCTGTGTTCAGGTCTCCTTGGGGACCCCCTGACAGATGATGGGCTCAGCCAGCTGGGCAGGGCCCTGTGGGAGTTGCAGGTGAGCAAGGTGAGCTCTGAAGGTGCCTGGGCCAGCAGTGGCCAGAGCCCACCTTGAACCATCTCTTCATAGGATTGTAAAAGTCTGGAGCCGGCACCCAGGAAGCCGTATGCTCAAAGGGGTTAAAGCTGAGGCTGTGGTGCTCCCAGAACCACAGGTGTATCTTTTTGTCCAACATCTTAGGAGCCCCACTGATGTCTGCCTTCCTTCCCTCTGTTTACATAGCTCTATCAGGGGGCTCTTCCTTTACTCATTAATTTTATTTTTTTCATATATTTGTATTGATTTCAGAAAGGAAGGAAGGGAGAGAGATAGAAACATCAATGATGAGAAAGAATCATTGGTCGGCTGCCTCCTGCATGCCCCTCACTGGGGATCAAGCCCGCAACCCAGGCATATGTCCCAGCCAGGAAGCAAACCTGGTTCATAGGTTTACACTTACCCACTGAGTCACACCAGCTGGGCCTCATTAATTTGTTGATTCCCAAACATTAATGACCACTCACCATGTGCTGGTCATGTAGGCCCTAGGAAATCCGGGTTCTCACGGAGTGTACAATCTGCCAGAGAGAAAGATTACAACATCATATCAGTTCTCTAAAGGGCTTGTCAGCATAGGGTTCTATGGGGCATCTAAATTAGTCTTGGGAAGGAAGATTTCAGGGGAAGTTGATTGCTGGCGGAGGCGGTCAGCAACGAGTGAAGAACATTCCAGGCAGAGAAAATGACAGGAAAAGTCTCAGAGGTAAATGAGTGCTTGATCTGTTTGGGGACTGCAAGCAGCTCAATCTTTTGAGAATAGAGTGTGATGAATAGAGTCAGGAGAGAGGGCTGGAGAGGGAAATAGGGGCTAGGTCATACAGGGCTTTGTAAATCTATTGAGATGTTTGGACTTTATCTTGAAAGTCAAAAGGAAACCACAGAAGTATTTCAAGCAGAGGACATTGCTCCCCATTTTCAGGTGAGCAAACTGAGGCTCAGAGAAGGGACGTGATGGGAGAACCAAAGGCAGCGCAGGTGCAAATGCCAAGTCCTTAGACTCAATGTGGTCCGTTCATCCTCCCGGGATGCAAGCTCACTCTTGTGCAGAAGGGGGCGCTCTCTCCCACGATTTGCCACAGGGTGGCTGGAAGGCTGCTCCGTCCAGCTTTTCCTGTTTTCCTTTTTTCCTTTTTATGATTACTTACAACTTGTTTTTACAGCCCTGGGCCTTGGAATTAAGCATGTAAGCTCCCATTACTGCTCAGTGCTTTGGGTGCCTTATCCCATTTCATACTCTCTATAACTTTAATCAGCTCCATGTTATGGATGAGGAAGAGTGTCACCTGCCTGAGGTCATGCAGCTAAGAAAGGGAGGGGCTGGGACCCTGACCAGTCTGATTTCAAAGCCCTGAGCTAAACTCAGCTGTCCTTCCCACTCCTGATATCTTCTCAGCAGGTGAGAAATTCAGAAGCAAGTCACAGCACAGGCCTCCAGGGGGAACCCCAAGGTGGGCCTGGGGCTTGGGGGTGGAATTGGGGGTCTTCACCTTTGATTTACTTAATTGCATTTTCCTCCAGTGGCAGGAAGGACAGCATCTCTAGGACCTGGGCTCCACCAAAAGCATCCTTTCAGGGACTCTGAGGAACAGGTTCCCTCACATACCCCAGGAAGGTGTGCGGGGAGTGAAGAGCTGCAGTTGCAGAGCCCAGTCAATATGTCTCTGGCTTACCCTGCCCCAACATTAGGGAGAAATATTGAACTTGTGGCAAATAAAGGACCTGAAGGTTTACTGGATCCCGAAGGAAGGGGCATGGGAAGGGACTGTTTTCCTACTGGATTAGGAGCATGCAATCTTTAGGGCCTCCGTGGCATCTATTGGAAGAGCCAATATTTTTCCTCTCCCCCCATGGCCTTCAAATCTCTGTCCAGACTACAGGCTCTTCCAGGGCCATTAGGTCTGGGATGTAGTTCTGGGAGAATCCCTGGCAATGAGATTCTGTTGGAAATGTTGGGCCCTATGTCCCAATGCCGTGTGCATACATGGCTTCTGGCTGAGCCTGGATTGATGCCACGTAGGCCTGATAGGCCCCAGATGTGGCCCTGCAGTTCTTCCTGGCCCAGGCCCAGAGTCAGAGACTGCGAGCACAGCACCACATTTAAATCCAGGAGGAACTGAAGCATTTGGGACAGGAGGAGGCAGGAGACCAGGTCAAAGTCCTGGTGGCTGGGGAAGAGGTAAGGAGGGTCATGTAGGGGATTTGAGTCTTCTAATTGGGCCAGGCACTATGCTGGTGCGCTGAGATCTGGTGTCAATCACAACAGACTGGGCCATACCCTCTCTCCTGGCCCTCACAGCTTTGTGGGGGATAGATGAGGCAATTCTTGGTGCTAAGTGCTGTGATGAGGGGAGTAGGGGCTTGTGGGAACAAAGAGATGTACCCGACCCAGGCTGGAGTGGATTAGAGATGAGAATTAAAGGACAAGTAAAGCAACCAGGGGGATCCACTAGACTCTGAGCCCCACAGGGGCAGTCTGTGCTCATCACATAGAGGCACTCGGTAAATATAACTTGTTGGAACAAATTAAGAAACAAAATTTATGTGCATGGGGCATGGGGGCGGAGTGGAGAAACATATGTTCTAAGAGATGACAATATTGTATGAAGAAAGGTCCAGAGCCAAACAATGGCAAATGGGTTCTGGGTATTGCAAACCGTCATTCTGGCTGGAGCCTGGCAGGTGCATGGTCAGAGGCGAGGCATGTGCCATGCCTCTGGATTTTGACTTTACCCCAGGATAGTGGTGAACTGTTGGAAGGCGTGTCATCTCAGCTCTGCCCCTCACTAGCCACGTGAATCTGGGTGTTAAATCACTCCTCTGATCCAGTTTTCAAATCTGTAAAATGACAACTACCTCATAGGGTGGTCCTTGGATAAAATGAGATCATACACATGAAGTGTGTAGGACAGAGTGGGCACACAGGTGGCACTCAAGAAAAAGTAAGTTGTCCCTTGGTATCCATGGAGGATTGGTTCTAGGACTTGCATGGGTACCAAAACTCATGGGTGCTCAAATCCCTTATATAACATGGCACAGTGTTTGCATGTAACCTACACATATCCTCCTGTAGACTTTAAATCACCTTTAGATTACTTATAATACCTAACACAATGTAAATGTTATGTAAGTAGTTGTTATACTGTATTGTTTAAGGAATAGTGACAAGAAGAAAAACTTGGTACATGTTCAGTTCAGACATGCAGCCACTGTGGGCCTAACTACATAGTACAACATCAGCAATAATGGAACATTAAAAATATATATATTTTCAATCTGGGGTTGGTTGAATCCGTGAATGGGATGTGGATCCGAAAGGCTGTCATCACTTAAGGCCTCCGAGAAGAGACAGCGGTGGCACCGGGAGCACACAGTGCTGAGGCTCCAGCGGGAGGCCTTCAGGCACAGCGGGAGGCCTTCGGGCACAGCGGGACACTGCGGAGCAGGACCCGATAGCCCTCTGTGACCTGCATGTGCAGGCCACCCGAGCACAGACATGCCACGTGTTACAGGTTGGTAGGGACAGAGGACAGGCCTTGAGCTGGTTACCATGCTGGCTGACAGACACCTCTGAATCTGGGCACAGGTGTTGCAAGCCTGGCAGGTGCCGTGGGAGGAACAGACCATGGCCAGAGTATCACCACCGCAGCCTGCTGGCTGGCATCCTGCAGGACACCATAAACCTGGCTGCACAGAACCAGGAGCTCCGGCAGGTTGCAGACTAGGCTGGGGCAGTCATGCTGGCCCCTTGCCCTGGGGAGAAATATGGTGATCAGGAATCCTCTCACCTTTTCTTTCTTTTTAAATTATTTACTGATATTAGAGAGAGATGAAGCAAGGGGAGGGGGTGGGGGGGTGGGGGTGGGGAGAGA